CCGGCACGGCCCCAGCGTGCGACACAGCGGACTCAGCAGTTCCCTGCTCCTCTTCCCAACGCCACGCACAGCCCAACACGGGGGCAGCCATGGAGCCAAAGACATTCACATGGAATGAAACATCAAAGACGAGCTGGGCTGTGCCAGGCCGCGGGCAGGGACCCTGCTCCCTGGAGTCGGAGAGGGAAGGGCAGAGGTCAGGGATCGCTGGACCTCACAGCGGCCTCAAAGGATGCGGCAAACCTGACCACGATCCCCAGTCCCAGAGAGCCACTCGCCGGGACCCACTCGGCCCTGGCCGTGAAGACCTGGCTCGGTCTTGGAGAAGCACAGCAGGGAGAAGTCTTCAAGGACACCTATTCCTCGGCGCTCCTGGCAGAGCAGGGGCGGCCGCTGGGGCAGGTCCCGCTCTGGGGGGAAGGCAGCACCGTCTGTGCCACCACAGCCGTGACGGGGACCCTGGCCTGTCAGGCAGGTTGCCCAGGAGCCACAAGTAGACCCAGAAAACAACTCCGATTTGTAATTGAGATTTCCTCTCATTTGAAACAAACACCAGTACACGCTCGAGGAACCGTCTCTAGGACGGCGGCAAATTAAAGTGAGCAGCGCATTTTTCAAAGAGACACTGTCAAGTGTGGGGGAGAAATTAAGACTCTTTTAGAGCTAACATCTATTCCTTGTGGAAGTTAATTAAAAGCCCGGCGAGCCTGATACGATACAGGCTGTAGTTCCAAGGTGCGACGCGTGCAGGGACCGTCTCCCAGTTTATGACTCCCAGGGGCTCCCAGGCGCCCATTCTAAGGGGCCGGCTGTGCTTCATGGTGACAGTGACAGCGACTGGGGTCCTGCCACGCACTGACAAGGACCACAGGGCCACACTGGGCCCCACCCCAGGCTCTGCCCCACGGCTGGGCAGGGCCCCAAGGCCACACCGGTCTATTAACAACCGTGCATCCACAGCAGTAAGAAAAGGTACATATTTGTTTTCTGAAAATCTACCACCATTTCAGCACTTTAAATAAAATGCCATCAGGTGAAATGGATCAGACTGAACCGTTTAATCCCTCCTGACATTAACCATACTGAACCGAGGAGTGCAATCTGTGCCGACAACCTAATTCTGTGTTTACTGAAGCGCCAGGGCCCCTGCATACAAAGCTGCCCAGTGCCGGGCAGTGACACCAGCCGTGAGCACAGACTGCGAGGGGAAGGCCCAGCTGACAGCACCAGGGCTCGGGGCAGCTGCTCCTCACCAACGACACGGCACACGCCGGGCCGGCAGTGCCCATCTGCCATGAGTGGGCTGTGCAGTAACCTTGGTGCTGCCTGGGAATCCACCACCTTGGAGACAGGGTCTCCAGACGCAGCTAAGACGAGCGCACACGACCTCACCGACTGCGTCCTCCTGAGAGGTGGGAGTTCTGGACACAGACACAGCAGAAGGTCACAGCACGACAAACCAGAGGCTGGACTGGCACAGCCACAGACCAAGGGGCACCGGCAGCCTGATCTACCAGTGCTAAGAGAGCACGGGTCTGCAGGCGCGTCCGTGGAGACTGACGCCAGGCAGTCTTGGCATTTCCTGCCTCCTCATGGCCGTGGGCAGGGGCCGTGCTCCCAGGAGGCACCCAGGTCTTGCACCACAATGGGCAGGCTCGGCCCCGGCTGCAGCTCCCAGCCTTCCCTGCAGGCTGACCACTACACCTCTCGGACGAGGTCTCACCTTCGCTGCCCAGGGCTCCCGGCTGCACCTGGGCCTCTCACACCTGCCCGGGCTTAGGTGCAGCCTGCAGGCTGTCAGCCAGGGAGGGGAGGGGCAGCTCAGCCCCAGCTGCCACCCCGGCAGGCCCTGGCTGAATGTGCGTCGCACAGCAGGGTGCTCCGGGGGCCGGGCAGGCACTGTGACAAGCACCCAGGCCCTGGCTGAATGTGCGTCGCACAGCAGGGTGCTCCGGGGGCCCCGCAGGCACTGTGACAAGCACCGTTTCACAGCTGGGAACCCACACGTGCGGGAGGGGACTCAGCCAACCAACACCACAAACCTACAGTGGTGCTGGCTCTGGGGAAGGGGCACCCGAACCCCATTTCTCACCGAGGACCTCGAGGCTCAGACAGGGTCACAGGGTCACCAGCTGGAGGAGGCAGGAGCTGACCAGGCCCGGGAGACCGCAAGCTGTCACCACTTCTGATGCCGTACTGCCTCTAACTAGCACCCCATAGAACTGCACACTGTGGATTTACAATGTGGCCAGCGAGGGCACCAACGGCAAAGCTGGACAGTCAGAAACTCCTGGCTACATCACTCTCGGCCGAGGACAAGGCTGGCAAAGGTCAGCTGCAGGACTGGGGGCCCTGAGTCTCCCTGGAAGGAAGGCTCAGAGCACGAAGTGCCCGCTGCTGCGAGCTGCGTGGTTACGATGAGGAGGATCAAATCACATGTGCATATGTGCTCCCATTCTTTAATATCCCGTGAGAGACTTCCAATGCCCTTTTAATAACTTAGATTCCATTCACATTCAGATATTTGTGTGTGGCTGCCTGCTTTGTTAACGGATGGCACACACAGACAAGCTGGGAAAGCCAGCACCTGCCTACTGTCAGGTTACCAGGCCCGGGCCAGCAGCTCTGTGGCCAACACCCTGCCAGGCAAGACAGGGACGAGATCCTGGTCATCCATCTGCAGACCCACACGGGTGCACCAACAGGTTTGCGGCCCTGTGCCCAGCAGGTCCAGGACCCTGGAGCCAGCTCAGGCTGATCAAACTTCGTGCAGTCTCAGGTTGATGATTTAGCTGAAAAATCACTCCAAGGAAAACTGGCCCCTTCTTACCTTGACTGCTGCCTGCGATGACATCAGGGCAAATCCACACACTTCCCTTGGGTCCACAGAGGCCTGGGACACCACCCCCTCAGACCTTGAGCCCACTGCATCCCTGCGCCAGGTGCCAGCAGACAGAGCCTCCTCCAGGGCCAGGAGCCCAGTGTCTACAGGGTGCAGAGATGTCACGGCACAGGGCGCCCAACGGAAGCCCCACTTGAAAACCCCAAGGCCGGCAGCATTTTTCAGGAAGTTCTACAGGGAAGAACCGGGAACTGCCAAGCTCAGCTGACCGGCATCCGCCCGCAGGCCCACCGAAAACCCTGTGTGCGGCCTCTGCTACAGGCAGCGAGCAGGCGTGTCCACCCGTCATGGCGCCTCAGCTGTGTGCCCGCAATCACCGGCCCGCGGACGCACGCAGGTGCTCGCTGCTTGAGCGCTGGGACCGTCCTGTGCCGCTGTCGCCAGCAGACCCGAGGGTTGTGCTCACTGGAACGTGGGTGTGCCACTGCCTACCGAAAGTGCGCCAACGCATGTTTGTGTTTTTCACAAAAACCCCCTTTGAAAATGTCAGTCGACGCCTTGCACAGGATTTTTTGGATTACTTTTTCCAGAACTACATCAAGCATTTTTGGGATTTGGCTCTTTCAAGATGTGAACCTGTGTGACGATGGCACTGGAGAGGTGTCTTTCGGGATTACAGCCTGAACCCGCCTGGCCCTGAGCCTGGGCAAAGCTGGGAAGGCGAGAAACAGCAGAGCAAACACAGGGAATGACAGAAACAGGGAGGAGGGGCACTGTGGTTACACATGAGTGACAGCCGCCCTGCCCAACAGGGCACCAGGAAAGAAACAGGAGACGGGGAGCAGACGTTCCCCACGGTGCTGGAGCAGCAGCACTTGTGTAGGGGAGGGAGAGCTGGGGCCCCAGCCCAGAGACCCATCTAATGGGGCGCTGGTATTAAAACACCTCTGGTGACTCCACTGTCAGCCGAGGGTGGGAGTGGCCAGTGTGAGCAGGTGAGGTGGCAGCTGGTGGTGGCTATCACTACAGGGGGTGTGGTCTGCCAGGGCAGTGAAGGGCCTCACCCAAGACCCCGGATGTCTGTAGCCTCAGGGCTTCCAGGCACCCCTCCTAAGGACGCCGAGCACCTGCCATCACCCCCCTGCTCTTCTCCACGCTAACACCACACCTGCACCTTCTGCTGCACTTCACATCTTCACAGCCAAGACAGCACCACGCACAGAAAGGTACACTGAAGGAAGCAGCACCCAGCACGCTCTGCCCACGCGGCCCCAGCAGTGGGCCAGCAGCCGGCGGGCCTCCTCTCCTCACTCCACTCCCCTGGGCACCTGTTACACCCAGCACGCTCTGCCCAAGCGGCCCCAGCAGTGGGCCAGGAGCCGGCGAGCCTCCTCTCCTCACTCCACCTCCCCTGGGCACCTGTTACACCCAGCACGCTCTGCCCACGCGGCCCCAGCAGTGGGCCAGGAGCCGGCGGGCCTCCTCTCCTCACTCCACCTCCCCTGGGCACCTGTGACACCCAGCACAGCTGGCTGGGTCAGGCCTGAGACTATGCATTTCTACCAAGCTCCCAGGTGACTCTGCGGCTGCTGGCCAGGGACTGGTGCAAGGACCACACCCATGAAGAATACCACAAGTGTGTGTGAGGGCAACATTGGGAGTGGGCCCGACGTCGGCACCTTGTCTGCCCTTGAGACTGGGAAGAAACAGCCCCGACTTCCAAGGGAAGAATCCTTTACAATGAAATATGACTCAGCAATAAAAGGGGGCCCACGACAGGTAATGCCAAACCACGGATAATCACGAAGAGTGAAAGACGCCAGACAAAACTGAGTCCACACTGCAGGTCCTCACTTGTATAAAATTCTAGAAGCAGGTTAAGCTGCCATCTGTGGTGACGGCATCCCATATGGACACCGGTTCTAGTCCCGGCTGCTCCACTTCCAATCTACTGTGCCTGCGAATGTGCCTGGGAAAGCAGTAGAAGATGGCCCAAGTGCTTGGGTCCCTGCACCTTTGTGGAAGACCCAGAGGAAGCTCCTGGCTTTGGACTGGCCCAGCCGCAGCCATCCAAGCCACCTGGGGAGTAAATAAGTGGATGGAAGATTCTCTCTCTCTCTCTCTCTCTCTCTCTCTCTCCCTCCCTCCCTCCCTCCCCACCTCTGCCTCTCCATAACTCTGCCTTTCAAGTAAAATACATAATTAAAAAAAAAATACTAGAAGGGACAGAAGTTGATGCTGTCCCTGGACGTTGGACTTTGTTGAAAAGCAGCAGTGAAGGTGTGCAGCCATTCCTTGTGAAATTTCTATCAGAGTACTGCGCGTGCTGAGGCCCAGCTGAACGTCCTGCGCCGAGGGTAAGCAGGACAGGACACACCCTGGAGGGACTCCCAGCAACACAGCCAAGTGGGGACCACAAGCGAGGCAGAGCAGACTGGGCAGAGGAGGGAGCACCTGGACAGAACAGCCCCGCGAGAGACCGCCGTCCCCGCCATTCCTGTCCCAACAGAGCAGAGGCCAGTGTGGCCCGGCGGGGAGGTGCGGGGAGGCTGTGGGAGGCGGAGCGGCTGCACCCATCACAGGCTGACAGTCGAGAGACGCCAGCAGCTATCTTAAATGATCCTGAATGTCATTTTGGGGGCTGCAAGCACACTTTACGTGGACAAAGACAAGGCCTTGATGGTAAAACGTAAATGACAGGCTGCCTTTCGCATCCACCCAGATGCTGGGATGTGAGGGGCCGACAGGCATGAGACACACGTAACAACAGGAAGGCGTCCAAGAGGCTCAGCCGCTGAGCTGGTTTCTAACTAAATCATTCGCCTCTCCTGACAGCGTTGCCCTGCTATGTAATTTGGCAATTACTTACCTGCCTGGCACCAACAACTTTTCCCAAAAAGAACTCAGAAGCCCTGAAGAGCAGCTGCAGAGGCTTAAGGGGGGACTGATCCCCATGCTAGAATCACCCGGGAAACTGGCTTCTGGCGTCCGGGTTTAATGATGAATGGAGCCGACAAGTGCACAAAACACGCACCAACAGCCAGGGCGTGAACCGCCGTGGTCCTGTCCAGATGAGGCACTTTCTCCAGAGGCCCCGAGCCCCCAGAGCCCCACTCAGCTGGAGGACAGCCACTTCACCCAAGTCCCCTGGAGCCCAGGCACCCAGGAGCAGAGAGCTCATCCCAGAGCCCGTCATGATGAAACACAAAGAGCAAGACGTTCAGGTGCCTTTAAAAGAAGACCCTCGTTGCTGCAACATAAACCCAGAGACCCAGTGGGCTCGGCAGCAGGCCCCCTCAGAGTCCCCAGCACGGGGTGCTGCCAGGGCTGGGCAGCTCGCACCGGCTCGTCACCGACAGCTGCCCGTCACCGAGAGCTCAGAAGCAAACAGAGGCCTCCAGCCCTGACACACGGAGCAGCAAGGCCTTGAAAACCCACCTCCTAGGAAAGCTGTCACTCTCCACCCACCCCTTGCGACGCTCGACGCTGTCCTCAAATCCCATGTCAGGTGAGCGCCTCTCGGAGGACCCAGGTTCACTGCAGTTGGGGGTGGAAACACACAGGCTCACAGCTCAAGACCAGCAAGAAGCAGATGTCCTGTGCGGCCAGGGAGGGTCCCAGCCGCGGCGCTCCCCACCCTCCCGTTCTGACCCCATGCACGGGGCTCACAGGCCAGGCGTGTGGCCAGGCAAGTGTGCTGAGACGTTGAGAGCCACAGCAGAGAGCTCAGGGCCGGCGGCCAAGCCACTCACAGACCCTGGCCTGGCCCGTGGTCAGAACTCCTGACCTGGCTGAGTGCGACCTCACACCCGTAAGACGGCCCAGTGGCACCCACCACACGGGATGCCACGGGGTCGGCAGAAGATGCAGAGCCCGGCAGGGGACTAGACACTGCCTCGGGTCCTCCTCCTTGATCATGGGGAGAGACCACGGGGCCACCTGCCTCGACCACCTCACTGCTCACGGCCTGCTTCCTTCTCCTGGGCTCTGGCAGATGCTCCTCCACGTGGGTCAGTTACTCCATCCACGCCACTGCATAAATGAAACTTGGACACCAACAGTCATTCAACAAACGGTCACAGCACACCCATGTGTGCCAGACACCCAGGTGCTGGGACCCAGAGACCAGGGTCCAGCGTCAGGAGTCCACGTCGGCTCCCCAGGGACTCAGCCTGTCCACCTGGATACTTCTCTCTTGCTCTCTCTCTAAAACAGGAACTCACGGTTACAGGAGGCCTGTGTGACTCTGGGGTCCAGGGGCTCAGTGGCCCAGAGCAGGTGGGGGGTGGGGAGAGGGGGACATCAGGACAAAGTGGACAGGGGAGGGAGGGCTCTGGCGGGTTCTGCTGGACTGGACATGGAACCACAACCAAGTAAAGTTAGTGTGAGCATAGCGCTTGTGACGAACAAAGGGGCCCGTCTTCCTCCACCCGAGCTGTGCCCAGGCCACTCACAGAAGGGACTCCACTCCGTGGGCAGCTGCCACTGATGCTCCAGGGGCACCACCCTGGGAGTCAGAAGACCACGTGCCCCTGCCCCGGAGCAGAGGCCACCTTCTCACCAGACTAGCGGGACTGTCTATACGGTGTCAGGGGCAGGCAAGACGTGCTGGGGGCAGCAGCAGGGACAGGCAGAGGGGATGAGGCATGCGGCAGGCCAGGGCTCGGGGCACCTCAGCAACCTGTCTCCCTCACTGCTGCTTCCCACCCTGCAGGCCGGCCCAGCTGCTCCCAGAGCCCACGGGTCTGCTGCCTACCAAGTGCCTGACCATGCCGCAGCCCAGGCTCTGCGCAGGTCACGCCGGGGAGCCCAGCTGGATGCTGTGTGACCAGTCTTTGTTGCAATGTTGCCCTTCGGGCGTCTCAGGAATGCTGAGGGTCCTGGCTGGACTCCCCCTTCCTCCTCCTGGCTCAGGCGGCAGCAAACGCGTGCCGAGCTTGGGCCCCACTCCCATGCCTCCCTCTGTTCCCCAACCTGAGTGTGGCAGCAAGTGCCGTGACCAGCGTGGGAGTCAGGGAGCACGCGGAAGGAGCTGGAAGGGGCAGAGGCTCCTGCCCCCAAGGAGCATTCCGGCCAGCCAGCCTCAACACCAGCTGGAGGCACCTGAGGCCTTGCCTACATCCTGGGGGCCAGGGCCGAAGCAAGAAGGCCTGCGAGGAGAGGTGGCTGTGGACAGACAGGGTGACTGCCGGGCCCGGTGACAGGCCACACGGCACGAGACGGACGGCTCCCCGTCGGTACAGCTGGTGGCTCACCCACAGGAAACAAGCAGGCCCGTCCTCAAGAACGCAGGCAGCTGTCACTCACAGGCAGCCTCGCGCCCTCCACCCGCCTCCATCGCTGGCAGGCCACAGAGAGGGTTCCTGCAGGCAGCCAGCGCAGTCCCAGGGAAGGGATGTGTCTACTCGGCTGCAGCTGTGGTCACCACCACCTCACCCACCCCAGCCCTTCCAGCGGCAACCACTACACCCACCCCAGCCCTTCCAGCCGTGTGGTCACCACCACTCACCCACCCCCAGCCCTTCCAGCCGTGTGGTCACCACCACCTCACCCACCCCAGCCCTTCCAGCCGTGTGGTCACCACCACCTCACCCAACACAGCCCTTCCAGCCGTGTGGTCACCACCACCTCACCCACCCCAGCCCTTCCAGCCGTGTGGTCACCACCACCTCACCCACCCCAGCCCTTCCAGCCGTGTGGTCACCACCACCTCACCCAACACAGCCCTTCCAGCCCTGTGGTCACCACCACCTCACCCAACACAGCCCTTCCAGCCGTGTGGTCACCACCACCTCACCCACCCCAGCCCTTCCAGCCGTGTGGTCACCACCACCTCACCCAACACAGCCCTTCCAGCCGTGTGGTCACCACCACCTCACCCAACACAGCCCTTCCAGCCGTGTGGTCACCACCACCTCACCCACCCCAGCCCTTCCAGCCGTGTGGTCACCACCACCTCACCCAACACAGCCCTTCCAGCCGTGTGGTCACCACCACCTCACCCAACACAGCCCTTCCAGCCCTGTGGTCACCACCACCTCACCCAACACAGCCCTTCCAGCCGTGTGGTCACCACCACCTCACCCAACACAGCCTTGGCCGTCGTACGTGCTGGGAAAACAAAGGCCAGGGAACAAGGACACCCTACAATAGGGAGCCCCGCCCACTCGAGCCACCGGCGGTGCCTTGCTCCCCAACTGCAAGGACCCGAGGGGTGACCCTCACTCCATGCCCACGTCCACTGCCTGAGAGGTCGGCTTGACCACGGCTGAACCCACGCAGTGTGCGACAGGTGGGCTGCCACCTAACCCCCCTCCCCCCACACACAGTAGGACCACCCCCTCCCTGCTCCACCTCAGCCACCTTACCCCCCCTACACACAGTAGGACCACTCCCTCCCTGCTCCACCCCAGCCATCTTACCACCCCCCACACACAGTAGGACCACTCTCCCTGCTCCACCTCACCCCCACACACAGTAGGACCACTCTCCCTGCTCCACCTCAGCCACCTTACCCCCCTCCCCCACACAGTAGGACCACTCTCCCTGCTGCACCTCAGCCACCTCACCCCCACTCACACAGTAGGACCACTCCCTCCCTGCTCCCTCAGCCACCTCACTCCTCCCCACACACACAGTAGGACCACTCCCTCCCTGCTCCACCTCTGCCCTGAGCGCATTTCTGCTGAATGTCAGGAAGGCAAGGCCCCGTGAGGGTGCCGAGTCAGCGCTCTTCCCGCGACAACGCGGGTGGTGGGGGTCGCCACTGGGCTGCTTTCTCTCCACCTGTGCCTCTCCCATCTGTCCACCCAGCATGCGTGCTGGCTGCAGTCACGCTGCCACAGGGACCTGGGCAGGGCCACAGGATGCTCCCCGCCTGCCCCCTCGCCCCCCCAGTCTGCAGATTTGAAGACGAGAGGGAGGAGACAGGGAGACAGGGTGAGCAGAACCTAAGCCGGGGCCCAAGTGCCGGCCCAGCAAGCGGCGGGCGTGGGGTCCACCTGCCCCTTGCTGCCTCTGCCTGTCCTGCAGCACGGTCACCCAGCAGGGGTGGCCCACACACAACATCCCCCAGCTCCCACAATCCCTCCCTCCCTCACAGGCCACACAGCTGCCCGGGCAGTCAGGGCTCAACTCAGGCGGCCAGGCTGAGGCCACTGCCGAGTTCCAGCGAGCACAGTGAAGCGAGACAGGCCCCGACCCCAAGAGCACCCACAGCTGCACCCATACCTGCAGGCTTGTTCCAGGCATGGTGACGAGCAGAAGGGAAGTGGATCCGCACCCTGCCCTCGCCACACCCCTCTGTGCCCGCACGGGGCCCGGCCCCCGCAGCAATTCTCAGCACCATCGGCAAGGGGGAACCAGGGCCCAGGATGCAACGGGCCTGCAAGGGAGGGGAGGCGCTGCGTGGGACAGCAGCCAGCGGCCTGCAGGGCGATGAAGGCCGGGCACTGGTGCGGGGTCAGGCCTGCAGAGTGTACGTGCCGTGGTGAGGGGTCACAGGGCCGGGGAGCACAGGCCAGGAGCTGACGCTAGGGGTCGCCGGGAGGATGGCATGGGGCCACTCACGCCCCATCAGCGGTCAGTGGTGAATCCAAGCACTCCCAGCACCTCCAAGTGAGACCTCAGGACCGAGCACCTGCGCCACGAACACCCTGCCCTTGGCCCACACAGCGTCCACGTGGCTGCGGCGCAGGCTCCGGGATCCTGCACGTGGTCTCTCCTCTCCTCAGCCCTGGCTGCGTGCCCACAGCTTGCATCAGCTGTCACCAGGGGCTCCCAGCAGGGGGGCTGCGCCTGGGGACCTCAGCCCACACACCAAGCCTCAGCACGGCAGTCGCCTGCACGAGCCCCGGCCTGAGTCTCAGCTCCCTCTGCCATAAAACGGGGACGACACAGCTGCCACTCACAGGGCATCCACGGGGCCGCAGTTCTATGCCAGCGCTCACATCGGCAGGATGGTCCCAGAGCCGCCTCCTGGACGCCGTGCCGTGAGATGCCCTGGCACACGTGCACGCACACGGGGAAGATGCGGGAGCGCCTGGGGCACAGCAGGGCTCGCAAACGCCCGCAGCAGGCGGAGCAGAATCCGCCACTGCGTTTCTTAGCCAGCGGCGCGCCTGCAGGGACATCACAAACACACCCGGCACGCTCTCCGGCTCTCCCCCGCCCCACTGCCACAGTGCCACTCGGCCTTCATATCTCCTCATCCCCAAAGGGCCTGGCCAAGCACCGCTGACCGAGAGAGACGCACTCCATCTCCTTCAAGGCCACTTCTGCAGGCGCCCGAGCGCCCGGTCCCTCCAGAGGCACCACTGCCCACGCAGGGGGGTGGGACGGTCCTCCCACGCTCTGCCCCACGGAGGGACGCACGGCTGGATGCCGAGTGCAGTCAGTGCCGCTGGGAACTGGCCTGTCATCAAGGACACATGCACACCCTCCACTGCAGGCAGGCGAGGACAGCAGCCAGACCCAACCCCCTGGGAGAGCCGAGTGGCCCAGAGCCCCGCGGCACGAGGCCAGGGCTCCCTACCCAGAGCTGGGCCATGCGGGACACACAGAAGGCAGCTGGGTCCCCGGGTGGAGGGTGGACGAAACACTGACAGAGACGTGTCAGTGACCCACATCGAAGAAGAGGCCTGACGGCCGTGCAGGACACAGGAAAGCCCACCAGCAGCCCAGCAGGCCGGGGCTTTGTGCTGTCTGGGGCTTAGATCCAGACACCCCAGGGCCCACAGAGGGCCACGCAGCAGCCGCACACTGAACCAGAGCGGGACGCTGAGTGAGCGTCTCCACTCACAGTGTGCTGGGCTGGGGGGAGGATACCAGCCTTCCCGCGCCCTGGCTGCCCACGACCTTGAACTTGCCTGTGCTCGGCTGACCAGAAGCACCTCCCGAGAGAAGCAGGGCAGCTGCCCACGGCATCAGCAGGGCTGCCCTCAGAGACAGGGTAGAGCCTGCAGCCATCACATGGTAGACACTGGCCAGCAATGCAGCTGTGCGGCCCTGGGGGAGTCTGGGTGGGCCTCAGGCTCCTCCTCTGTACCCCACTGGTCAGGCCCCACATCACCCTAAACAGGCTGCAAGTCCTTCCTCCCCCGCCCCCATCTCCTCAGCACGAGGGCCCCAGGACACGCCGAGGCGCACACACTCCATCCCAGGGGAACGGGCAGCACGGTGGATGGACACACCAAGCAGGAGGGTGCCCGGGAGCGCGCCCCAACCTCTGCAGCACCGAATGGCTTAGAATTTCCTAACGGACTCGAGTATTCAGAGTGAAGGCAAACTGCTGTAACTACGCGCTCACAGAGCAAGTGATTACTTTAAACAATATCCCGACTGGGCCGGCATTCGGCAGCACATGAGATGCCTGCAACCCACATGGGAGAGCCCGGGTTCAAGGCCCAGCTCCGCTTCCCATCCAGCGTCCTACTAACACGCACCCTGGAGGCAGCAGACGATGGCCCAAGCACTGCGGTCCCTGCCAGCCACGTGGAGACTGATGGAGTCCCAGAATCCGGGCTTCAGATGGCTCCGTCCTCGCATGGCTGGCCCTTTGGGAATGAACCAGCAGATGGGAGATGCCTGTCTGGCTCACGTTCTCTCTGCCTCTGCCTTCCAAATAAACACAAGGTAAACAACAAAAACATTTCAACCTACCTCCAAATTCAGCCTTCCTGCACGACGGGGGGCCCGGCCGAGAGGCTGCCCCTGGCAAAGGGGCAGAAGGCCACCCCAGGGCAACTCACGGTGGTGGGGCCCCAGCAACCCGTGTGGGTAGGGGGTTTCCTTCTCCTCTCTAACCTCTCAAGCTTCTGCAATCAACTCTCACAGTGCAGTAAAGAACAGAGCATTTCCAAAACAAACAGTGGCGGAGACGTGCCGCAAAGCCCACTGACGTCTGCCCTCACCCTGGCCCCAGCGCTCCTGCGGGTCCCCATCAAGGGCCTTCGTTCGTCCAGCAGCTCCTGTGTGCTCCGCAATCAAGAGCAGGAGGTCTGCCGAGGAGCCAGCGGGAGAGGACTTGGGAATTTCAATACTCAAACAGCAAAAGGAAGCCGGCGGCCGGCCCAAGACGCTGTCCTCGCACCACACAGCCTGGTCATTAAGGGCACGGGGAGGAGGAGCCCCAGCTGCGTGCGACAGAGCCGCGGGCACCCACAGGGACTCGGGCAGCGCGGGCCTCACCCTCCCAGTCATTAACAAAAGGTCACAGGAAATTGGATGGGAAACTTTGAGAAAACTCCCCGTGCTGGGGGCGCACCAGGCCAAGCTCCCAGGGCAGTTCTTAGGTTAAGTGTGACCTTCTGAATTTCGTCTGCGCACATAAAAATAAAGGTGATTATCAGGCTATGTTAGAGCTCAGCGGAAGAGTCCATCATTCAAGGGCACACATGGACAGCAGGTGGCCCACCCGGGGCTGTGGTGTCCAGGGGCCCTGTGCAGAAGCCTTCAGTGTGTCCCTGGACCCCATGCGGGCTTCCCTGCCCCACACTGCCTCCCCACGACAGCAGCAGCCCCCACCCCTGCACTAGGAGACAGGAGGTGACATCCCCCACCCCACCGAGCCAGGGTGCCTGCAGGACACAGATGTCAATCAGCGGAAGTGCTACGGGAAGGTACACAAGGGAGGCCCCCAGGCAGAGGTGGGGGTCCCAGGGCTTCACCGTTACTGTGTCTGGTGGTCGCCATTAGGAATCCCTGGGAGACAGACCACCTGCCCTTTGTTCCCAGTGCTCTGCCTGGCAAGGCTGCTGGGACCAGGCACGCCGGCCTGAGCCACGGAGCACGGGGTAATCAATGTGCCGGGCCAGGCCACCCTGCCTGGGGACCATGGCAAGCCCTCGCCCCACCCAGGACTCTCACGGGTCACCCTCACCCAGCATGCCCTTGCCCTTCCAGGGTTCTCTCCTTCCTTCAGGGTGGTAGGGCAGAGCAGCCCGGGCCTTGGGGCAGCCACCAGCGGCACCACAGAGCCTGGGCCCAGGCTCTGGAGAGGCCACGACAAGGGATGGAGGGACGCACACCCACGGTCTCTGCTCACAGAGGAGCCCTGCGTGGCGCCCGCCTTTACGACCAGTAGAGAAACCTCAGGTCATGGTCAGGTGTCAGCCTGCGACACGGCATCCCACACGGGCGCAGGCTCGAGTCCTGGCTGCTCAGCTTCCTGAGAAGGCCCGAGAAAAGCGGCAGAAGATGGCCCAACTGCCTCCTCGGCTCCACCCACGTGGGAGGCCTGGCAGAAGCTTCGCCTGGCCCAGCCCCAGCCCTAGCTGTTGCAGCCAG